GGGCTGCTTTCAAGAGGTTCACTCCGAACTCTGGATGGGTTCAAAATTAGGTTCTTTGAAGAAGTGCTATAAATTTTCCTCTATGAAATATATTCCGATCCCCTTGATTGAGTCTCCTCCTACAGATGCTATAAAAGCTGAAGCATTCCTCGCAAGGTACCAGAGGAAAATTACAGTACCTTCGACATATCGGGCAAGTCGGGTGATGGACGAGGTGTTTGAAATAGCCGTGTAAATGGTTCAGTAATCTTGTTTATCGGATCGAAACTTTCCCTCGACCACTGTGAACCTCAATTTCTTGTGTCAAAGGACAGTATCTCAAGACCAGTCAATGAAGAACATCTCAAGTGGTTGCGTCGCTGCCGTCGCCGCCACCGTGATGGTGGGAGGTGATCGGAGGACGAACGTACGGTCGCGACCTCAGAAGACGACGGTTCTTTGTATCGGTTTCAGTCGGTATATTTGTTCAACTGCACGATACAATGGCCGGTGAAAGGTGAGAGGTGCCAGTCGGCAATTTCTCTAGAACCTTCCCCACATGCACTCTCCTGTCTCGTCCTCATCCATCACTCAACACAAATAGACACTCACACACCACACTGCGGCGATGGCGACGATGCCTTTGTACGTGAACACCCTATCTCTCCTCTGGGCGCTGTCACCCCAAACGACCATTGCCTCGATTGCTGCTTTCGCGTGCTTATATGCAATCCTTTCGACAAACATTCAACCAATCACAAATCTTCACTCCTCTTCATGACAACGGTGGGAAACGACCATCGTTTCCCTTTCTCCTTAGACGATCGATCCAGGAAAAAAATCACATAGAAGCGAAATCCTCCCATTCACCAGAACAAAGCCAACGGCCGGATCGTAGAAATAGAAAAGGCCTAGCACATAAAACAACTCGGTGGGCTAGCCATTAATTATCTAGAAGTCCATTCCAGAACTTCAGAGGGACTTAGATATGGTTATGATACATAGGTATATCAAAGAGTATCTACGGCCAAACTTTCCACCTCAGATCACCTCAAAACTTGTTCAAAAAATCCTCACAGTGAAAGATCAAAGCCATTTATGGCGGGCGGGACTCGATCTAGGATTAGATCAGTACCAACCATGTGAAACTTCGCCGCCTGGCATTAGCTAGAAAAGTCCTAAACTCTTGTTACTCTTAAAATACCCGTGGACCTTTCCATCACAGCCATATTCAATTTATTATTAGTATCTAGTTAGATCAAAGAGATCTACTGACAAACTTTTTGAGCTGAAGTATTCCCTACGAAACTTCTTTTTACATAACTTCGTATAGCATACATTATACGAAGTTATACGACAGGAAAATACATTTTGAAAGCCATTAGAAACCCAAGACTTCAAAGACATGGCTCAATCAACTCCTGCTCTATCTTCATCTGGAAGCAACTCTCTCAAATTACTCCTAATAGAAATTTTGCCTACTCCCACTAAAATTTTACTCTTCTCTCCTATCCGTTTAGCTCCCAGCAGTTACTGAAATTTACTACCTTCCTTATTATACGACACCGGGGTCTTTCCATTTTTGCCTCATTCATTTTAGAATCGCAGACGCTTGCCGTTTTACCCTTTATTTGCATCTATAACTCAAAATCTAATGAAATCAAACCAACTTCAGGCAACTGCGAATGACAGGAAAATACCGTATGCACCAAAAATAGATCAAGCTACGTTGCAGTGGTACCGATACCTTTCGTGTAAGAACCATTCCTCTAGATCTTTCTCCTCTGTGCAGCCTTCACAGACACAGGGCCAACCGTCCGTTACACCAATTTCAAAATTTTTTCCACTCCCTCCAAGAAAAGCCTCCATAGGTCCCCCACCACATACCGCACCAGCGTCCTTCTTTCTTGAGCATCCACGAAGTGTTAAGTAATTTTTAACCCATAACGGACGGCCAGTGTATTTGTTGCGTGCGCCACCATGTGGCGCACGCCGCCACCCAGGGTAGGGTTTATGTAGGCTTATGTGAACAGCAGGGGTAAGACGGGGCTAAAGTAGGTGTCGGAGTCTCATCATCCGAAAAAAAGAGATTTCCGTTGACGACAAGTTCGTAGCCCGCCTTTCCGCTCTAAAACTAGGGTGCAAAGAATGAATGGAAGCTGTAGGTGACATTATCGAAAAATGCGAAACAACAACCCCGAGCAAGGATGTGGCTATATTTAGGGGAAGGGGTCTCGGGACGTGCGAACCATGGGTAAGCCACCCATCAAATAGTAAACTTATGTAAATTAAGACAAAATGTATGTAAAATTTATTGTAGGTTTGTCAAAAATCCAGCCGTCCAGGTCCTGGGAAGATATGTTATTCCACATTGCTGAGAGTATATATGGGTATATTAAGATTGCTAGAAACATTCCAAAAACAAAAGAAATAGTCGTGCGCCACCTTGTGGCGCACGCCGTCCGTTATGGGTTAAAGAGAGGCGGCAATACCTACTAAACTCGCTTTCTTTTCTGGAGTTTCCGCCACACTCAATAACGATTTCTTTGCCCCAAAACAAATAGGCGAACGCTAGAAATACGACCCTTCTTCCGAAAATCTCGAATACGCCCCCCCTCGTTGAATTTCTATGAAAAACAGTTAACCCTACATGGACATTGAAGCTGCAAAGAGGCCGTGTATGAGATTTTCAGAGGAGGTTGTGGTGATGTTTCGGAAGGTTTAAAAAGAAATGTCCCTTGCCGCAGTGTAAAAATACGGTACCCCTTGTCAAGGTGTTTACGATTATTCTTTATTTATTCTAGAAATGGATTGGGTCTCAGAACAACTTTCAACTGCACCACATCTATGCGAAACTCTTTCCTAGAATTCGATCCAGTACCTTTCTGAGGCGTCCTTTCTTTCATTACCCCTTAACGATTCGATGTCAGGTAGTGCTCGATAGGCAGACAATACCGAATCGGCAAATGAATAGAGTACGACTTAGAAGGTCAAACAATGCCACCCTTATAACAATGGTGTCCAGCCAGTATGTAGAGAGGTGACGAACAACATAATAACCGCACACTCACGTCCCCTTCCTCCTCATTCCCTCTTATGGACAGACAAGCACACATACACGAGACACAGACGGAGAGGAAGAGACGTGGTGTGGTGGAGTGAGGTGTGAGAGCGCGTCCACGACAACTCGCTGGCAGAGGTCGAGCGGAAGACAATTCTCCACGCTACCCACTCAGGAAATGGATTATTAATATGGCAAAGACTCCACATGCACCGCGGGCGCTCAATTGAAACACTCAGGCATCTAGAATGAGTTCAAACTTATCCCCACTCGGTTGGAATTCTCGCTGACCCCAGCAAATGATGGCCTTTTGTGAGGCAGATGGTTTACGCAAGCCAAACACAAACACAGCCACGCATATCGCGTGTGTCTCCGTAATCGCTGGCTGATCGCCGACCGACGACTGGCCTCACGTTCAAATCCAAACTGCTCAGCTAACAAACCCCCAGCACCTAGCACCATTTCGATGTCCTGGTAAAATTTCTCCGAATGTCGCTAAAGCGCTGGTCGTCCAGAATCCCAGCGGGCATTCGCACCCCTCGACAGCATTAGCGCAATTGGCCCAATTCTCATAAGCCGGAAAACCCTCCACCTCTCCACCTCCGATGTCCAATTTCATCGACCCTGGTGAAATGAGAAATTATGACAGAAGACGGCCGCATGTGGTATTAATGCACAACGCTTCTGGACTGCTTTTTCTGAGGCTCGCTCGATATCAAAATTTTGCATAAGACAATCAAATATTACCATTCATATGCTAGACGCCTAACAAAAAGAGGAAAATGGCTCAGGCTACAGCCTTTCGAAGCTGTTCTCCCTAAACCCTTCTCGAAAATTCGAAAAATGCTTGTCATCTGCTCAGTAACCAAAGATGCAAGAGAAATTGAGCCCAGCCTTGATAGACGACAGCCAGAGGACATCATCAATTCAAGAGAGCCATAACAAAAAAAGTCTTGCAACTGCAAGAGCTGATGTTCTATCGCTTAACCCTGACCCTTACCTAACCCTCCTTCTTCAAAAACCGGGGAGCTACGTCCCATAAAAACGGCCTACATTCTCTTTCAACGATAGTGAATCTCGAAAGATTCATCTGGAAAAACTTCCCAGTTTGCAATTCTTTTCGCTACTTGCACACAAGCGATTTCAGACTTTATGGTCGTTAAAAACCCTCCAAACCATGAAACGCACCACAAAATGTCCCATCGATTCTTTCCCTCATGTATACGAGAAAAAGGCCCTTGAAACACGACAAGTCAATCAATGCTCAAGTGCACTTATCCCCCTCTTCTAGACCACCTTAGTCGATGTGTCCGAATTCGGTTAAAATGAAGGAAAACACAAGTAGACAGACATGTCTAGACAGTATGACTCATCAGCTCCTAATAAAAAATAGACCAGGAAAGGCTGTTAGGTCGAAGTGGCCGTACGCAACATCACCTACACTGATGGAACTGTGGTCTTGGAGCTGTTGATCTCCATATCAGCTCTCCAAATCTGCTGAATAACGATTTTTAAACGGGGGCGGCAAGCGGTAATAAAGCAAAATTAGACAGCGATAGTAATACCAGCTCACGTGGTCAAGGCCTCAGAGACCACGCGATTCCCCGACGGGATTATCTCCCTTTTGTCCTTTGCAACATCACAATGTCGTAAAAGCTTCCAACTACTGTACTTGAATGCCACCCCACTTGCCTATAGAAGACTGCCAGATTTCTCTAACCCGTTTGGCATCCACTTTCTAAACGAAATTGCACATCGGACGCTCGCAGGAAACTTTGTGACGTTTACTGTCCAGCAGCGCAAGTTGAGATTTCTGTTTCGGAGATCGAAAATATCTTCCAGAAAAAAGTCTGAATCAGTCAGCCAACGCTTTCAGAGAATCGTCTCCACGACCGCTCATCGCCTGGACCCGACCGACTACCCTGCTCTATTTTGCTGCACACCATCCGTTCAGCAAAAGTCCATTTTTATATTGGGAAACCAGATCGAGATCAGTCGTCCACAAAAACAACATCCGACAGTGTAGAAGTCTGTGTGCATATGCACTTCGACCCATCATCCTCCCCTGGCGAGTAATTTTGTGAATAAAGGCAATAGGAAAACAAACCAGCTTCACCAGCTTCACCAACCACGCCACATCATCGCCTTTCTCGAGTTTAATCTGCCCCTCTTCCTCTTCGCCGTCCGAATCCGTTAATTCCCCGTCCTCGGCCGCCCTTGTGGCACGAAAACGTCGCAGCGGTTTTGTCATTCCAATCATCATCTGTAATTCAGCAAAATTAAGATCGCCACAAATAATTATATACGCGCTAATTTAACTTCGTGAACAGAGGCACATTCATGTTGAATGTCATCCTACTGTCCCACGTCGGCACCTTCAGCTATTTGTCAATGAAAGTACAATGATATGCTGTATGTACATTTAGTTGCTATTCCGGCAGCTATCAACGCTGAGCCATTAATCTTAAAACTTTGCGCTACCAGCCAGACTTTTTGTACAAAAATAGACTGACCTACCTGCGGCTTTGACTTGTCACACCAGTAAAAGTCCCATTCTTAAGTTACAAAAAACTCATCAAAATTTTCACACATCAATCTCCACGACAAACGGAAGTTAGGAAACCCCGAAAGACAACAACCGTAAACCACAGCAGCAGAGCTAGCTTTACATTGGTAAAAGGGCATTGAAACGGCTCATCCAGAGCTCAAAGGCAGTAAAAATCTTCCAGTGAAAACCCTGAGAACTATAATATGAAAGGGTTGTTAATTCTTAGCCGTAATAATAACATAATCCACCCAATCTTACTTAAAACGTCTAAAGACGCGATCCACACTTGTACCGGCGGTTACATTCGAAACCTGCGGAGCACACTGGAGTGCCCAACTTTAATTCACAAAAAGAAACGTTGAACTCGGTTTTCCGCGTGAGAAGATTAAGAAGAAGTAACAAATCTAGGATTCTAGCGAGTCTTCCTTGCATAATTATATCTCTCAAATTGGTATTTACTCTAGGTTGATGTCAGAGTCCGCGATCCGTCGTGCGATTCGCGCGAATCGCAGAAATGGCAAAGGCTCTATGAAAATTGAAAACCCTTGTATCAAAACAGTAAGAACTTGTCAGCATTCGTCATTCATATAGCGCATCAAAGGTCATGAATGGAATTCGGCGATTAAAGAGCACACATCCGCAGGACTGCCGGGGGCACTTTATATTTTTGTATCCGTCGCGCGTACGGGAACGGACCGTACACCCGAGCCTTAGAGATCTAGGATCATTTTCGGTACGTACCATATCGTTTACGATCATAATTCCTAATGAAGGAGACTTGAATAAATAGACTTTGCAATGATTTTGCAAGTCCCTTTGTCGAATTGCTCTCACGCATTTGCTTTCATCCATTTTCGAGTGTCGGCCTTTGAATGCTGCCAATGTTATTACTTTGGGGCCACACCAGTGAAATTCGATCCGAAATCTGATTCTCAGACCATGCGTGGGGAAAAGGAGTCACTCGCAACTTTCCATCTGGGTCCTAACTTAGAAAACCTCTATCGGAGCTCAACTAGGAGCGGATATTCCCGAATTGCTGTGCTAGACAAACCACAGCTCCTGACTGAGATAACCTTTGAGCCTCTGAGAGCACTTTAGCCAAGAAGGGACTACATCCAGTGCAAAGCCAAGAGCAATAAGTAACGGTTAAAATGAATCGTTAAATTTACAACACCCAAACTTATGTGCGAGCCGGAAAAAGGACGAAGCTTTTCTCCTGCTTCCGGAAAGTTCTTTTATCCCCTCGATGGTTTTTCTTTCCGTGTAGAATTTCTAGAGCTGCAAACAGGATCTTCGTGTTCTCACTCGCATAAAAACCTTCCAAGAATCACTCATTCCCCGACGATGTCCACACGGTGAACGCAGATATATTGATTGGTGGCAGCGCTAATTTTTCCAGTCAATGTGCTGTGCTGCTGCGGCAACGACGGCGGACGGACGGCGCAGCAGCAGCAGAGCCAGCACTGGCAACAGCAGTTTTCCATTCTAAATGACTCCTAATTCTATTTGTTCGTTTCCGAAATTTGTCGCTGTGACAAAGCGACGGCGGCCAGGATAATCGTCAGACCACAGAAGGAATGATGGGGTGGCCGCAGCAACGGCACACATCTCATGAATGTTCAGCTAGCGACGAGGTTCCTCTAATGGAGCATGTCCTTGAAAGGGCACCATACTGTGTTCGACACACCACCACCACACATGGCGGCCGCGGGTTTGACCCCGTCGAGCGGGGCAAAAGAGGTCTGGGATTATTTTTTCGTCGTCTGATCGCGAAAAAAATTCCTCATAGATTATCGTTCACCTTGGCATTTTCGGAACAATGACACACAACGAAATAATGCATCACTCACTCGAACACAGTCCGCTCGACTTGCGAAACTCACTAAACAAGAGGTTTCGTCGACTACCTCCACACGACATGGATGATATTCAGCAAATATCCTGAAACAAAGCAAATTACCAAGTCGTTCAGATGCAATTTCCAATAGTGGGGTTTTCTTCAGCCTTTACATTTCCAAAAACCTTTATCACCGATTCTTTTGAATCCCTTTTACCCTAAAGTATCCCATAAACAGTAGAATACATAGAATTTTCTGAGTGCTCTAACACTGTAAATTCATACATATAATCCCCTACTATAAATCAATTGATCAACTAAGATCTACAAATGCCTTCACTCAAAGGCAGAATTTACGATGAAAAATTACTTCATTGACATAAGGCTAGAGGTGCCGTGACAGAATTGAGAAGAAATCATTCGAAACAGCCCGAAACCCGAAAACTGGGACCCCTTCCTTGCCCGTTGACTTCCGCATTGATGCGACCTTCATCGTTATGCACTCATCAACGGTAGCTCTCTGTATCTAACACACGCCACGTATAGACCTCGTATAGACCTGCGTAGTGATTAGATAGTCGGTGGGCGTACCCCGCCAACCGCGCCAAGAGTGAGCCATGCTAGATCGCCGAGGTCAAATCTTTCGCTGCCAATTGCGCGTCGGTCAGCACCCTCAGGAGGTCCTGTCTCCCAACTATGCAATTTCCCCTTCTTTGACCTTCGTTCTTATCGTGAATTCCTCCTTGAAGCATCAGCTCACACCTTTTAGCAAGCTTAAAAACTACCTCGGGAGAAACAGTATTTCAAAATGCATCTTATACAGTAACCACCACATGATTTCCCATATCGGGATTACTTCATTCAGGAACCCTCTCACCTCCAAGATAAATTATGCCCCAATGACTTTTGGGATAATATAGAAGCTTCAGGACAGAAAATCCCCTGCACGAAGGGAAAGAGGTGGGATCACGCTAAATTCTGAGCGGCAAATTCATAAGTTCAATTGCAAATTCGGTGAAACTCCCACGCGATAATGATGGTAGGGAATTTGCTCGGAAATCTTCAAAACAACTGAGCAGCAAACACACGCGTGATGGATTAGCGGTTTTCTACGACCAGTATCCTAAAACTGAGCAGGATTGGGCCATGAAGCCACCTTCAAGTTTGACGTAAACCCTGATCGGATGGCCTAGACGAAGACCGTCCAAGATCTACCCGAACAAAGTTGAACAGCTACTGGGCCTTCTTCTAAATGATTTACCGCTTTCGCTACCAACCAATAAAGTAATCTGGTAGTCTACGGAATGGACAGCGCGAAGGATACTTTTGATTTACAGCTGCTTATTATTGACTTCGACATTATTGCCTTCTGCCCTACACCAGAAGGAAGCTACTCTTGCTTACGAATCTCCACTGAACTTTCACAAAAAGTTTCAGCTTGCTTGCTATAAGGGCAATTTTCCATTGTTCCGACAGTACTTAGGCAGCACAGCCGATTCAATCACTTACTGATGCATCAGAAGCTTATCATTAACTTATCAAATCTGCCTGATTGCAGACGGTAATTGGCTTTCACGACCTCTACAAAGGAAAACAAAGAAGCACAGCTACGTATTTCTGCTAATCGACAGGGTGTGACTCACCCAACGCCAAAGATAAATCCGCAAAATGCCAAAAAAAGCTCCGAACAATAGCGCCTCAATCCCTTTCATCCTTTTCATAACTGAACATTGTTCGTGCGTATTAAGCTATGCTGAAGTTTACAAAGGCTTTCTTTCCGTTTTCCCCGAGGGCTAATGAAATATTAAAAACACTTCTCCACGGCGAAGCGAGACATGTCGTCCGTCCCTTTCACAAACACCACACGAACGTTGTGACTCTCTTTAGTGACTCTCAGCTCGCGGTAGAGGCAATCGATGTCTTCCTGCGTCAACTGAAATCAACTGTTCATTTTTCCATACATGTCAAACATTCCTCATGAAAAAAAAACCTCCAAATTCTTCCCGAATGAAACAGTGCCACGTCAACCAAGCACATAAAAAGGCTACCCAAATATTTTGAACCTGAAGTGTTTTTCCTTTCTTTCGGAATAGCTCTCAGCCTCATTTCTAGAGCAAGTCCATAGGCGCTATCGCAAGATGCGGGGCATTGTAGCCACAATGCATTTGAAACTGCGTCAAACATCTTTTTTCTGTTAAACAATACTAAGCCTGAGGCGGGGGAGGAGAGACTCCAGGGTGCCCGAATAATTTTCATTTTCCTGGAGTTCCTGCTCCCTCCTAAGCTCAGTCCTAGAGGGTGCCCCCTCATCTTGCGATAGCGCCCCTCCGTATCCAAGGCTTCCATCCACAGAAAGACATACATATGGAGCCAATTATGGTAAACTCTTGCTACAACGGCAGCAGCCCTCTATGCATTCCCTATTAAACCGCACACGGGAGAGCGCAATTTCACGATATTAACCCGCAGCCATGGCAGATCAATGCATCACCGCACACAAATGTGCGTACACACACAGAGCCATACACACACGCACATATACATGCGCATACATGCACGTACACACACCCTCATTATCTTTAGAGATCTCCCTCTCACCAACTAGAGCTAGCCAGTGTGAGCCTCAGCTAATAACTCTACTTCCTCCCCAAAGGCAAGCTATCCACTCTGCAATGGACCCCAAGGAAGAGAAGAGGGCCTAGCTATAACAGCGGTCAAAATTATTCACCGGACCATCGTGCACCGTCCTTTCTTCCTTGACCAGTTCGTTCCAACCATCGACATATTGTGCCTTTTGATATTTTCGAACCGTTAAATTGTTAGGAGTTCAAAATAATTGGAAGGAAAAATCTCCGTTTAAGTTCCAGGTCTTTATGCAGGAAAAAGTAACGAACAAAGAAACCATTCTGTTGAGCCTTTCGACTGCTACC